GACTGATTTGATCTCCTTGCTGCCCAAGGGACTCCAGCTCCACAATTCAAAAGCATTCATTCTGTAGCTCTCAGCTCTTCTTATAGTCCAGCTCTCACAGCCATACATTGCTACTGGAAAAACCATAGTTTAGACTATGTGGATCTTTGTCGGCAAGGTGATGTCACTGCTTTTTAGTATGCTGTTCAGATTTGCCATAGCTTTCTTTCCAAGGAACAAGCATCTTTTAATTTCATGGCTGCAGTCACCATCTGCAGTGATCTTTGAGCCCAAGAATATAAAATCTGGCACTGCTTCCATTTCTTCTACCTCTATTTGCCGGAAAGTGATGGGACCATTTGCCAAGATCTTAATTTTTTTTTTGTATGTTAAGCTTCAAGCCAGCTTTTATATTCTCCTCTTTTACCCTCATCAAGAGGCTTCTTAATTTTTTTTCACTTTCTGCCATTAGAGTGGTATTGTCTGCATATCTGATATTGTTGATATTTCTCCCAATAAACTTAATTCTGGCTTCAGATTCATCCAGCCTGGCATTTCACATGATGTACACTGCAAGTAAATTAAAGTGACACTATGCAGTCTTGATGTACTTCTTTTCCAATCTTAAACCAATCAGTTGTTCTATATCTGGTTCTAACTGTTGCTTCTTAACCTATGTACAGGTTCCTCAAGAGACAAATAAGATGATCTGGTACTCTTTCGGAACTTGCCACGTTTTGTTGTGATCCACACAGTCAAAAGCTTTAGTGTAGTCAATGAAGCAGAAGTGGATGTTTTTCTGGAACTCCCTTGCTTTCTCTCCACAATTCAGTGAATGTTGACAATTTGGTCTCTAATTCCTCTGCCTCTTTGAAAACCAGCCTGCTCTTCTGGTAATTCTCACCCTCATATTGCTGAAGCCCTGCTTGTAGAATCTTAAGCATAACCTTGCTGGCATGTGAAATGAGGGCAATTGTTCTGTAATTTGGCATTGCCCTTCTTTAGGACTCAGATGTAAACTGATCTTTTCCAATCCAATGGCCACTGTTGAGTTTTCCAAATTTGCTGGCAAATTGATAGCAGCACTTTAACAGCATCATCTTTTAGGATTTTAAATAGCTTAGTCAGAATTCCATCACCTCCACTTACCTTATTGTTAGCAGTGATTCCTAAGACCCACTTGACTTCATTCTCTAGGATGTCTCACCCTAGATCAATAACAACACATCTTTCTTGTGTAGTTCTTTTGTGGATAGTGAGCATATTTTTTTAAATACTACTTTTTGCTTCTCTTCCAGATTTTCCTTTACTTCTATTGTCATTCCCAATCCAGTGTTCTCTCTTTTGTTTCTTTGGTGAGACTTGCCACTGCAGATTCCAGTGTTTTTTGTTTTTTTCTTGTTATTTTTGATGCATGGGCCATAAAATTCTGCTCTCATAATTTTAATTTCTTTTTCCAACCATTCAGGAACAGTATGTTGGGTTCCATGTTCTCCTCAAATTCCTCAGGGCCCTCTTTCTTATCAAGTGTTAGATCATTTTCCTTTGTTTTGCAGTATTTATTTATATACCTGGATTTCTTTACTAGATCTGGAGGGCACACTTCTTTTGGCTGTTAAAGTTTTCTCTGTTGATTTCTCTGCTTACTAAATTCAACATCTTTGAGTTTTCTTCTCAAGATCCTTGGTAATTTCAGCCCCCCCCCCCCATTTCCCCATTGTTCACTGTCTGCCTCCACTCTGATGGTGGTTTCTGTAGGGTCTGGAATTCAAATGTCTCAGCCTCCTCCCACGGTGGGCAGTTTACTACTCATCAGTCTGGGACTGCCTCGAATGACTTTTGGGGGCACAGAACTGGCTGGAGAAGCTCAGGTTTAGTGGAGTGCATGCACTCTCCCTTCCCCCTTCCAACACACACACACACACACACACACAATGACTTATTCCAGCATTCTGTCCCACTTCCTCTGTACCTTGGTTCTTTAGGTTGGCATCAGTGGTATTATGGGTTTGATTTCTGTAGTTTGGTTCTCTGAAGCTCTGGGAGGAGGGTGGGATATGGTATGCTGCTGATTTCCAGCTTGGACATTGTCCTGCCCCTTTACCTCTGTTCCTGGATATCCTGCAGAAATCTTTTGCAGTACAGGCTGCTGCCTCTCTCCTCACCTCCACTGCCACCACCCCTCCCCCCTGCAAGCTTTTGCCCTAGAGCACTGCTTCAGTTGTGCTGCTGGCTGGCTGTTGGGGGCCCATAAGGCTTCTGCCCCTGCAATACTGCCATAACACTGGCAGGCTGTCACAACCTGGGAAAACTCCCCACAGCCAGGACCTGGGATTGTCAGGGCACTGGAGAAAGGAAGGGGGTACTGGACCTGGGATTGGATTTTGTTGTGAGCCTGTGGTGGGATCCTTGGGGTGGCTAACTGCAGCTTTGAGGCCAGGGGCTCAGAAAGTGGGGGAGGATGTTGAATGGAGGAGTTCAGTGTAGAAGCCAGCTCATGCATGACCAATGAGAGGCACTTGAGTGGCACAGCTGATAAGAGTACCAAGTCTGGAGTCAGAAGACCTGAGTTCAAATCTGCTCTCAAACTTACTAGCTCTGTGAGCCTGGGCAAGTCATTTAACCTCTATTTACCTTAATTTCCTCATCTATAAAATGGGGATAATAGTAGGACCTGCCTTTCAGGGTTGCTGTGAGGACTAAATAAGATAATAATTGTAAAGGGCCTAGCAAATGTTAGCTATTATCATCTCTAGCACATAATTTCTGTTTTGGAGACATCTGAGATGTCAAGGGGATCATAGAAAAGATCTAGTCTATCATCTTCTTGGGTAGTTAGCAACAAAGCTGCCAATTGGCCCTTGTGTCTGTAGCCTGCTCAATATGGTGCCTTGATATGGGTCTGGGACTTTCTATGGTTTGTTTCAGTCCTGGAACCCTGGAACTGGAGTGGGACACTCTTAGACCCAGTCCCCAGCATCCACAGGCCTCTGTCTCTCTATGCTGATTTGGGCTAGAAAAATGAATCAGTATGACTTTTTCTTGGATTTGATCTGGTGCATTTTCTATATCAGTTTGGAATTTTTATTTTTGGTTTTGGGGGAGGGAATTGCTATATTTCATGCTACTTTGCCATCTTGGCTCTGCCTCTTCTCACACAATTGTCTATGAGTTTAGTGGATTCTCTTGGGCCCAGAATCACTTAAACTCTTTTTCAACCACAACTGTTGAATGCTGAAAGAATGAAAAAATAAAAGATTATTGAAAATTTTATTGAAAAATTCCATTCCAAAATATACATGAATTTTTCTTTTAAATCAATTAATACGATATACTTTTCAATAATGAATTAAGTGCAAAATTATTATAATTGCATACATTTGAAAGTCAACTCTCCCTCTCCTATGCTCAGATTCTCTTTAAGTGGTTTAATTTTTTTCATTTCAACTTATTATAAACCAAAATTTTAATACAAACATGAAGTCTTTCTTTTTACATCACAAACCTTGAATCAATATATTTAGCACCTGACATTCAATTGCACAGCATTAAAACAAGTTCGTATTTCTGAATGAAAGTTAACACTGGCTTATGCTCCCTTTAATGCTACTGAGGGAATCCATTAGATTGCTCAATCATTATCCATTTTTATTCTAAAATCACAGAGTTAGAAAAGTTTCCAGAGTTAGAAAAGAGCTTACAGGTTACCAAGGTCAAGGATGCATAAGCCCTTTCTCCAACATCCCTCACAAGTTGGTCATCTACATATCTGCTTTGAACACCTACAGGGACAAGGAATTCCCCAGCTAAGGTAGTGTATTTTATTTGGTCTCTTTCCACTCTAATTGTCCTTGGTTTGCCTTTCCCTTATTACTGAGTTTCTTTGTAAGAACAAGAAAAAACGAATTCTTATTACCAGTGCTCATAATAAATGCTTACACTATCTTTGGTTCAGCAGAGGGCAATAAAGAAGGCAGTAAAATCCCAAAGAGAGGGAAACGGCAGAAACTGCTACGTGTAAAATGAAGAGCTACAAGATTTCCCATATAAGACATGAACAAATTTCTCAAAATATATTCCTTTAAATTAGTAACACTGAGATGATTGTTAAAGAATCCCCAAACTACAATTTCGTAAGGATCAAGAACATTAGAAAGCTGAATTAGATAGTTATCCTTAAAGAACTTACTGGTAATTCAACATTTATTAAGCTTCTATTTGTATCATATACAAGCCACAGTGCTAGGAACTGGGAATACCAAGACAAAAAAAGGACAAAAATGGGAAGTAGTTCCTTCATTGAAGGAGCTTCCATCCAACTGGGGGGATACAGTGTGTGTACAGAAAGCACAAAGTAATTTGAAGAAGGAAAGAGCACCAACAACTGGGGAGAAGAGGGAAAGTCTTTACATAGGAGATGGCACCAGAGCTCAGCCTTGATGGAAGCTATGGTGAGGAGGGAGGGCATTTCAGGCACAGAGGATAGCCTAAAAAAAAGACTGGAGGACAAGTGATGGAATGTGGAGCTCAGATCTGCTGGTAGAACTGACTGGAGAAGACCCATTTTTTTCTAGAATTCCAAGTGTGTGAAAGGGGAAAAGAGGAAGCTTATGGTAGATATTTCTATTTTCCTAGTAACGCAAGAGACAAGGAGAGCAGAAAGGGTGGTAAGAAGAGCTTTAGGAGAGAAAGTTAGGTTTGGAAAAACTACTCTGAACAGCATAACAGTTAATTAGGGAAGAATAAAAGTGTTGCTGTGCAATGGCGACTGCTCAGCTGAGATTAGGTTAACAAATTTGCGATGCACCCAGTTAGCACAGTTGTATGACTTTCTCTAGTATCATATTTACAGAAATAGAGAAGGTAGACAGTGGGGAATCAGTTCTAAAATATGATTTCAGGATTTCTTTAAGATCATTTCAGTATTCCCCTTTTTAAGATTTAAGGTAGTGTTTATAAGGGATGAGACATTTATAGGAATGAAAGTAACATTACTGAATAATAAAAGTCTACTGAACATCTTTAAAGATAAACATAAGTGCACTTTATTTAAGAATCTGTATAATTAATACTGGGCAGAGAAATATTATTGTATATAAATTCCTTTTCCCAACCCTTAAGAGACAGTTAAAATGTCATACTGAGATAGCATATGTAGATACTAGTTTTTAGTAATGTCAGTCTTGCTGTTACCAGCATCCCTTACATCTAAGACTTCAGTACTACATTAAGATGTTACACGTCACACTGTTTTATAAAACCTGACAACCTTAAGAGAGTTACAATAAAGCTGAACGTTTAAGTTTAAAAAAGATGCAACATGGTAAGAGAGACTGGCATTTTACTGTAGGATCTTGGTCATGTAATATAATCATTCACATAATATGAATTTCAATAAAGAACATGTTCTAGCATAGCTAGGTTTTATACATTCTTCTGATGCCCAGAAAGTTCAAGAATGTTTCAAATCAATATTTATTTCAGTTCTAGCAGCATAGAAGCTGGATTTTCCAAGTAGGATTTCCATAAATTAGAGAAGCGGGCCATTGTAGCACCATCAATAATTCTATGATCAGCGGACCAGCTCACATTCATTATTTGTGTTTTGATTACTTCATCTTTCTCATTAAACCGAGGCACAGCCTAGAAATAAAAAGGAAAATTTTTGCTCAGATTCCAAACTATGCAAGGAGTTGTGGCTACAATGGCTATCTATATCTCTTCTCTAATAGTGTCAGCGAAGTCTAGCAGATGTGACGGAGGCCATATCAACTTATGACGAAAAACAAACTGTTCATATCTACATATATCATTCAAGGAATTTCTATTATATATATTCTAACAAGTAAGGTATTTTAGTTAAGAGGGCATCAATATTTCCTGTACGCAATGGAGCTTTTCTAATGATATCATTCTTCTGGGGATATATGCAATTCTCTAACAAGGAGTTCTCAGCATTTTTAGTGTTGTGGACCTCTCTGGAAGTTGAGTGAAGCCTAAAGATCTCTTCTTAAAATACCGTTTTTAGTTGTATAAAATCAAACACACAGAATTACAAAGGAAACCAATTATACTGAAATGCAGTTATAGTCAATCAATCATCAATAAACATTTTAAGCACCTACTACATGCCATGCCCTGTGCCAAATACTGGGAATACAAATGTAAAAAAAAAAAAAAAAAGACAAAGTTATCAAAATGGTAAAGAAATAAGTTTACAAATCCCAGGTTAAGAATCTCTGCTCTAGGAGATTTGGCATGGATCTCACCTCTGTTTGAAAATTTATTATATGATTATAAACAAAAAAATGAGACAGGAGAATTAGGAAATGTGAAAAGAAAGCTTTTGTGCCACCCAATCCCCCGTTCACTCTCTCTGTTTATTTGTGGCTACTAAATGATAATGATTATAATGATACAGATATGTGTAAAGTGCTTAGCACAATCACTAGCACATAGTAGGTAGTTAATAAATGCTTGTTTCCTTTCTTCCTTATATACAGTAATGAGATAACTTATGTTTGGTGTTTTAAAATAAATATAATATTTATAAGAAAGACATAATTGATGTTACCCTATGCTAATCTATACTGTTTTGGTTATCCATAAAGCGATCACTATAGCTGGTCCTTATTGCACTGAAACCACAGTCTTCAAAGTTACTAATGGTCTCTTGCTTGCCAAATCCATGGTCTTTTCTCAATCCTCATTCTCCTTGACCTCTCTGTAGTCTTCGACACTGTTATCATTCTCTCTTCCTTGGTATTCATTCTTTTCTCTCCGAGTTTTTGGAACACCACTCTCTCCTGGTTTTCCTTCTTCCTAACTGACCACTCTTCTGTCTCCTTTACTAGATCTTCTTCTAATTCATGCTCTTTAACCACCTTAGGCTTCTATCCTAGGCTCTCTTCTCCCCTCCCTCTATTCTACTTCACTTGGCTATCTCATCAGTTTCTATGGATCAAATTACTATTTCTATGGTGATGATTCTCAAATCTATCTATCCTGTCCCTTTTTGCTGATGTCCAATCTTGAATCTCCAACTATCTTTTGGACATCTTGAACTGTATGTGCAGTAGTCATCTGCACCATGTACACCATCTGCACATCCAAAATGGAACTCATTATATTACTCCTTAAATCTTCTCTCTCTCTCTTTTTTTTTTTTGCTTTTTTGGTGAGGCAATTGGGTTAAATGACTTAACCAGGATCACATAGCTAGTAAGTGTCAGAGGCCGCATTTGAACTCAGGTCCTCCTGACTCCAAGGCCAGAGCTCTATCCACAGTGCCACCTAGCCGCCCCTATTCTTCCCCCTCTCTTATCTTCCTTATTACTGTTAGAGAGCAATACCATTCACAAGCTTGGAGTCATTCTGGATTACTCACTATCTCTTAACCCCAAACCCCTTCCATATCCAAGCTCTTGCCAAGGCCAGTTGATTTCACCTTTGCAACATCTCTTTTTCTCTCCTCTGACATTGCTACCACTCTAATACAGGCCCAGGCCTTCATCAACCTCATGACTGGACTATTGTAACAGTCTGCTGGTGGGTCTGCCTGCCTCAAGTCTTTTCCCACTCCAATTCGAACTCCACTAAATCCACCAAGTGATTTTCCTAAAGTGAAGGTCTGATCCTGGACCCCTCACTCAATAAATTCCAAGGGTTTCCTATTGCCTCCAAGGGCAAATACAAAATGCTCTGTTTGACATCCAAAGTCCTTTATGACCTAGCCCCTCCTTACCTCTCCAGTCCTCTTATATCATATCTTTGAACCAGTGACACTGGCCTCCTGGCAGTAACACGAACAAGACACTCCATCTCTTAGTTCTAGGCATTTTCTCTGGCTGGCCCTCATACCTGGAATGCTCTTCCTCTTCTGTTCTGACTACTAACCTCTCTGGCTTCCTTTAAGTCCCAACTAAAATCTCACCTTCTATAGCAAGCCTTCTCCACCTCCTCTTAATTTCCATACCTTTCCTCTGTTAATTATCTCCTATTTATCCTGTATATAGCTTGCCTTATGTATATTTGTTTGCATGTTGTCTTCTCCATTAGATCCTAAGCTCCTTGACGGCAGGGATTGTTTTTTGCCTCTTTTTGTATTTCAGCACTTACCACAGTGCATGGAACACTGCAGGCACTTAATAAATGTTTATTGATTGACTGATAACCTAGAATACCATATCATCTGTGGCAAGGAGCTAAATTGCAGACCTAGCATCTAGGCAGATATAAGTAGCTTCTACAGGACTACTTTCAGAAACTCAAATCTATGAAGTGATGACAAACATCAAAAAGGGTCACTTTGCTTCTACCACTGCAAAAGGATTAAATTCAATTAATGTTGACATTCCTCAATTATTTATCCATTTATACCTTTATGGCTCCAAGAGCTCCAATTGCTACTTCTGGTGGCAATATCAATGGTTTGGCATAGGTACCACCAATCTAAAAAAGAGAAAAGTACAGAAATTGGGGTTTTAGAAAAAATACTCAAGAATTTTAGAGGTTTTTTACACGTAGAACTTTTTATTTTTAGATGTAAAGATATGATTCATAATCTCCATATTAACAAAGGGACTTGAGTTTGAGAGAAGGGATTTTTCTATTTTATTAATAATCAATTATTAGTATTGGGATCCAGGTTTTTTTTTCTCTTTTTATTTCCTGATTCAGGGACCAGCCCTTGTAGGTCAACCAATCTCTGAAGGACAGAGCCAATGATGAGACTGGCCTAACCAGCCAGAATATTCACCTCATTCAACTGAGAGAGCTTTTTTCTGATTAAAGTGTAAAGAGAGTCTAAACTAGGTGAATTCTGCCTCTAAAAAGCAGTAGACTCATGCCCCACAAGGTTCAGTTTAAGTGGTCTAGGAGGAGATGTATCCCTTTGTCTAGATAACTGGAGGCAGCTGAATCTCATTAAAACAAGCAGTAGCAGGAGCTGGAGGCTTTCAACCTACCTCCCCATTGCAGAGTCTGCCTGCCCCACCTCATTGATTGTTCACCAATGTGGATTGTTATCCCCCTGTCAGGGCACCCATTTTTCTCAAGGTATTTAAGCATTTGATGATCTTCATGGTTTGTCTTTTGGTCACCAAGAGGGACAGACCACTGACTATTGATTTATTATTTGCAAACCTAATTAATAAATTGATTATTAATTACCCAGAAACTCTGTCTTTCAGGCTTTTCATTTGTTTCAAGTTCAAGCTATATGAGGACTAGCTGAAGAAATTGGAGATGTTTAGTGTGGAGAAGACTTGGGCAGAAATCACAGCTGAATTCAAGTATTTGAAAGGTTGTTCATCTTACAGAAGAATGAGAGACATTCTACTTGGCCCAGAGGAGATTACTAGGAGCAATGGGTTAAAGTTGGCAAGAGGCAAAGGATTTATTCCTGATTCTGTTCAATTCTGAAATTTTGTAACTCAGTTTATAAATGTGAATATTTTAATTATTACAGTACTCACTGATCCAATGTTGGACAACGTAAATGTTCCCCCTGTGATATCAGCAGTTCCCAGCTGATTTGCAGAACCCAGTTTCTGCAGACGATTTAATTCAATGGCAATCTCAAACACACTACAGAGTTGAACATTTTTCACATTGGGGACAATAAGCCCTTGTTCAGTATCCATAGCAATTCCAATATTATGAGAAGCCTAAAAAAGAAAAATGGCAACAGTAGTTCTTTCACCAAGTTAACAACCGAATAACAAACTAGGGAAAGACTGTGTTCTTGCTGTATTCCCCTAAAAGAGGGCTGCTTTTTCCCTCTGTAATCCCTACAATTCTGTTTATTAAAAAAAAAACCTGAAGAAAAAAAAAAAACCTGGGGGAAGCTAGATGGCGCAGTGGACAGAGCACTGGCCCTGAAGTCAGGAGGACCTGAGTTCAAATCCAGCCTCAGACCGAACACTTGACGCTTACTAGCTGTGTGACGCTGGGCAAGTCACTTAACCCCAATTGCCTAAAAAACAAAACCAAACCAAACCATTATTTTTCTACCCCTACTCCAAATAATTAAATTTTACAATAAAGTTTTAAGTCTATTCTAATTCACAGAGCACTGAAACAAATAACTTACTCTAGAGATAATTCCAAAATCCAAACCACATACTAGATCTCAAACTATTATAAAGTGGTAATTATCAAAACAATCTGGTACTGGCTAAGAAACAGAGAGGTGGATCAGTGGAATAGATTTGGTACACACTATACTGAAGTAAACGACAACAAGTAATTTAGCGTTTGATAAACCCAAAGATCCAAGCTTTTGGGACAAATACTCATTATTTGACAAAAACTGCTGGGAAAACTAGAAAGGAAAATGACAGAAACCAGGAGTAGATCAGCATCTCACACTGTACACCAAAATAAGGTTAAACTAGGTACATGATTTAGACATAAAGGGTGATACCATAAGCAAATTAGGAAAGTATGGAACAGTTTACCTGCCAAATCTATGGATAAAGGAAGAATTTAGGACCAAACAGGATATGGAGAACACTACAAATCACAAAATTTTGATTATATAAAATCAAAACATTTTTGCATAAATAAAACCAATGCAACCAAAATTAGAAAGAAAGCAGAAACTTTTACAGCAAGTATCTCTGATGAAGGCCTCACTTCTCACACTAGAGAGAAATGAGTCAAATTTATAAGCATACAAGTCATTCCCCAAATGATAAATGGTCAAAGGATATGAATAGGCAGTTTCAGATGAAATAATCAAGTGATCTATAGTCATATGAAAATGCTCTAAATCAGTATTGATTAGAGAAATGCAAATTAAAATAACTCTGAGGTACCACTTCACACCGATCAGATTGGTTAATATGACAGAAAAGGAAAATGATAAATGTTGGAGGGGATGTGGGAAAATTGGACACTAATGCATTGTTGGTGGAGTTGTGAGCTGATTCAGCCATTCTGGAGAGCAATTTGGAACTATGCCCAAAGGGCTATAAAACCACGCACACCCTTTGATCCAGCAATACCACTACTAGGTCTGTATCTCAAAGATACTAAAAAAAAAAAAAAAGGGAAAAGACCTATTTGTACAAAAATACT